GTTAGGCCTGCGGAGCCTCCAGTCAGCAGCCTGTGTATCCCCACCTTCCCCGTGTCCTGGGGTTGTGAGGTTAGGCCTGCGGAGCCTCCAGTCAGCAGCCTGTGTATCCCCACCTTCCCCGTGTCCTGGGGTTGTGAGGTTAGGCCTGCGGAGCCTCCAGTCAGCAGCCTGTGTATCCCCACTCTCCATGTGCCCAGGCTCACTAGGGCACAGTTTGCTTTACGCCAGCTATGGTGCTTATTTGCTAACTCTGTGTGGCTGCAGCAGTGAGACCATTGTGCACCGATAGAGGAAAAGCTTTATTACATTTTTAGTGCCTGAGTTTAACTATTTTAATTATTTTAATGGATCTTTTTTCACCAGGAATGATAACACTGCATGTGATTGATTTCCAACGTTTGCATTAACTTTTTTTTTTCTAAATATTTTATGAAATGAAAATGTACTTAAAAACTGAAATTGTTAAAGGAGAGAGATGCATAGTTTGAAGAAAAATGAGAAACATACCTCCTCTCTTAAAGACCAATGTGTTCTTACCTCTGTGTACAGAATGTCTTTATTTTACCTCCCAGTTTGCTATTTTGTTTCTATGAAATATTCGGTTGAAGATGCATATTCTGTCAGTGGTACTCACAATGTATTGTGTTTGTATTGTGCCCATATTGTAGCAAGTAATTACATTACTCTTTTCATCCGTCTATATTTGTTTTTGTTTTTTTCTCTTCATAATTGTGATGTGTAAAGAATGGCGAAAGCTGTTCTATTTTTTTCTTCCCCAGAACAGTGCATTAAAAATGCCTTGTACAGTGTCTATATTTTATTTTGGATTTGATGATCAGGTGGGCGGCGCACCGAACTGATCCCTGCTACAGACCTGATCGGTCTCCATTTCTAAACGTTTTACCTTTTAACTTTTTGTAGGATGTACAAAAAGGTTGAACAATCAACATAGGAAAGTTGACGCTTATGTTAAGTTCTAACATAGTCCAGTTACGTGAATAAAAGGATGTTTCCTTATTTTGCAGTTTGTGTCTTTGTCAGGTTAGCCGTCGCAGACTAACCTGGGCATGTCTGTCCGTTCGCCGTAAATTAAGATGAAGACGCTGGATTTGGGCGTCTGTGATCGCTGTGAGCGTTTCTTTCTTTGGGGCTCTTTGCCCGGCGCGTTTCCCACGGCTGCCTGCATGTGCATCAGGCGTCCAGCTGTGAGCCAGAAGCGCATTTCCGTTTCGGTACCGATCGTGTTCCCGGTTCCCGATGCCGCGGCGTTGTGGTATCGCGCATCCTGACTCCGCCGGAATCGGTGCTGGGGCTTTGGTTGATGGAGAATCAATATAGGTTTCTGTTGAGTGAGTGAGTGAGTGAGTGACAGACAGAGAGAGAGAGAGAGACAGCGTGTATCGCTGCTACGGCTGTGTTCCCACAGTCGGGATACACTTGCAAACAAGGTGCGTATTATCAGTGCGACCAACAGACTCAAATAAAACACTTGCTGCTATGTGGCGAGATTTCAGATTCTTTCTAATTGCCACGTACAATATAAGGATCATCCGGGATTTTTCATTCGTTTTGTAAAAGGCTCATTGCACATTCGTATCTGAGCTTTGCTTTTAAACCCCCACTCAGAATTGTACCCTGACTTCTCGCTATCTGTTATTGCTCTTTGTGTGTATATCTGCTGGAGTCATACTCCAGATGTTCGTAATAAGGCGGGGGATTGTGTAAGGATGTGTGGTATTGTTTGCCGAGAGAGGGTGCTGTTGTGCGCGATTTGGCAGTGACTCATCTATAGATCTTGCCGCGAACAAATGACAGTTTATATGTATATAATCAAGCTAAATCTTCCTGTCGTCAAATTGTGATTAGCTTAAAGCCAAGTGGCAGGCCGAATTGTAGTATCAAAGAAGTCTATCTTCTTTATCTTCATTTTAGCGCATTTTCACATTACATTTTCTCAAAATGCTTTGCATTATCCATGCTGAAAGTGTTTTTATCTTTTAAATAAACGGTAAACAATTATTATTCCCTTCCTCTAATTTAGAGATTTCCATGACAATATGGCCTTCTACACATCCTTTGTTTATTCCAGATCAGGTGCAACATACAAATAGCATTTTCAACATACGACACTGTAAGTTAGCCTTCAATAGGAAGACCTTGACAACAGATTTTGACGCCGTGTCCCGCCATTTTTAATATATTATTTAAGTATGCAGGTTACTCAGACAGTGTACAGTGTGCTGATAGCTCATAGATCTTTAGAGGACAAACCAGTGGTTGAATATGCAGTGCAGTGGTCCGTACTCTGCCTTGGTGTTACAGGTATGTCATTTTACATTTACTTTTTTTTTTTCTAGCATTTCGCAAGGTAAAGGCTCAGATTGAGATGCACTGCGCAGTTGCTCATTTGTGTTAATCCACAGCACTGCATAGTCCAGTGCCTAAGCAGCACCCTGAAAGGTGGCTTTGGCTTCTCGGCTGTTTCCCCTGCACTAAGAGAGAGTGTTGTGTGATTCTTCATGTAATTTCCTCTGCTACTTGGTATTTGTTCCTCGTTGTGTATAAACATGCACACATCTCCAGTCCCTGCCGACCCCTCTGCCGTTACCGCCCTTCATAGAGTCCCTGCCGACCCCTCTGCCGTTACCGCCCTTCATAGAGTCCCTGCCGACCCCTCTGCCGTTACCGCCCTTGGGAGAGTCCCTGCTGACCCCTCTGCCGTTACCGCCCTTCGGAGTCTCTGATGTGCTGTCAGTATGCCTGCTTCCATACCATCCCTGTTCCCTGCTGCTCTAGCATAAACAAAACTGTTCACACTAATTCTATCATCAAAGAACAAGAGAACAAACAGCAGTCAGCTCTTCATGCAAATATCTGCTCCTACGCTGTACTGTGGCTGTGAAACTGAGGCTTTTCTCCACCAATGACATTCGAGAGAGAAGACCAGTATGGCCGCATGTGGACTGGAGTGGTAAGACCTCAGTGCGAATGCAGTTCGGCTAGAAGCCCTAGAGAGCGTGTGGCCGTGTGACGGAGGCCTGCGTATCTGGAGCCGCTGGTGCCGACCCTGCTGGTGCTGATCGGCCGCTGCCTTCTCCAGTCATACCTATTTATAGTTCATTGTTCCTTCCCCGCTTGGGGACTTGCAGCCCTGTTACATCACGCGAGTGGCTTCCCGCGTCGCTGGCCTCTTGGAGGCGCCGTAGGACGCGTCTGTTCTGCAGGGCCGCGATCCAGAAATGAAATCTGCACCTGACACTTGTTTGTTTTGCGAGGGTATCCCAGGAGGGT